TCTGACACTGTAGGTGCTCAGTTACCTTAGAATTATGGCTTGTTTAAATGGCCTCCCTGGGCACTGCAGTACGCGGTGAAGTATTGTCTTGAATTTTACGGGTTGTAAGAGAAAAAGAACAGACATGAAAATAACTCAATACAAAGGAAAACAAAGACAAAGATAAATACAAAGAGTGCTTGTCTTTTCTGATTACAGGTAACAATGAGTGAAGGAAGGAAAGAACCTGTCCAACGAACAAAATTCATTACCGTGAGTATCGGCAGTACAGCTCCCTTCATGGCTTATGATACAGCATTTATGCTGATAGATGAAAGGAACAATAATTTTAGCCAATAAAATGATGCGAGTTTCATGATTATACTGTTCGGAATTAAAGGCCATGGAATCATTGCCTGATTTCTTCTCGCCATAGGGCATCTATGGAGCAAATGGATTGAACGGCACCATAGGCTGAGAGACGCTGTTTTAGACGAATCGCTGGGACATGTATTGCAGCATCCATGTTCATTTCATACCAGACGTGCTTCGTTTCGAAGGCGATGAGAAAAATGAAAACCGCGGACCCGGTTTCAATTCGACCAACATCTAGAAGCAAGATGCGATATTACCTGTGATTAACATAGTTTCATGCAATCATGCGCCTACTAAAACTATCCGGGCGTAGGAACTCCTATTCTAATTAATGTCGTTAATGCCACGGAACTGAGCTTTAGTCTGTGTTCGAGCTGCTGGTTAATACGGTTGGTCTGCGATGCAGCTTCGTTACAGTTGGTGCGTTTTATCTACACCGTAATGACTGATATGCAGCGCCAGATACATGAGAAGCTCTTTGATGCGGTCAGCTAGTATCGTCGTTTGCTGTTGTCGTCTAAACTGTGTTTGTTAAACGTGTTACAAGCGTTACTGCGTTGTAGGTTACTATATGATTTTGGGCGAGACCAGCACTGGATTAATGTCGTCCAGAACAAGATCCAATGCAAGCTCGCTGCTATTCACGTACGTAACAACGACGTTTTGTTTTCAGTTTAAAACGGACAGATAGACTGTGAAGCACCCTGCGCTGTCAAGCAAGCGCGTCCTAATCCGATCTCATCTTTTTCCCAATTGTCCCCGTCTTCCATCCCTTACCTATGCTTCTGGGGCGTTTCCTACAGGAGCTGCTGCATCAAACTTAACGAATTTTCAAAGTCTGCTGGAATGTAACGTGCTAGTTAGTCAGCGCTTCTCATTCGAGAAAGCGTGAAGAAGTGAACCTTAAAGCGGTATAGTGAGAAAAACACAAACAGGTACTATAGCGAAGATTCGAGCTCTTCCTCTTCCTCACGAAACGAGACAGTTAGACGCAGACGGTGCACACGGTGTTTTGACGCAGATCGTCGAACGCTCGGTGCTTGGGTCGCCACTTCGAATTTGTGTAATTGGACAGTAGTCATTTACGTAACCTATTTGATTTATTCCTTAATTTTATGTAGCATTGGAAAGCTGTCTATGAAAGAAGTATTCGCGTGTGAGGTTCACCACGATAGCCTCACGTGGTCAACACAGTGGGATTGTAATAAGATATTCACAAGTGTGAATACTTGTTTCACAGAGAACTTTACATTGTTCTATAGCATGAGTGGTTAAACGGGAATGAAAGGATCGCCGAAATGATGAAGTTATTTCAATTACAACTTCTCGATCGGGGTAATCTAGAATCTCTGAGGCAACATGCATCTCAGGGGGATCACTAAATTTACAGAAGACGTGGTTGTGGAGTACACCGTTGCTGGTAATCTGAGTTCGCTGATCTGAAGACTCGTGTGGTTTACGGAAAAGGCTGTTCGACATACTGTTGTCTACTCTGAATCTTCTCAGTCGCTTACATTTATTGATGTGTTCGTTCGTTGTTCAACATGTCTAAGAAACAGATTTAGCCGCACAGTTTTAGTTGCCGAATTTAATCGAAGCCCTGAAACTGGTCTCGTTGAAACCGGGGCGCTCCTCGTTGAAGATCAAAAACTTGCCGAAACCGATGATGAACTCGTGGGGACTGTGGATGAGCGCTAACGCAAAT